TATTCTTTTTAGTTGTGTGAGTGTGTCTATGTGTTGTGTGTGTGTGTGTGTGTGTGTGTGTGTGTGTGTGTGTGAAACGTGTGTACACACCACATTTTCTTTATTCATTCATCTGTCGATGGACATCTGGGCTGTTTCCTTGTCATGGCTATTGTAAAAAGTGCTGCTATGAACATTGGGGTGCATGCGTCTTTTTGAGTTAGTTTTCTCCAGATATACGCCCAGGAGTGGGATTGCTCTATCATACAGTACCTCTATTTTCAGTTTTTAGGGAACCTCCCTACTGATCTCCATAGTGGCTGCACTAACTTGACATTCTCACCAATTGTATAGGAGGATTCCTTTTTCTCCACACCCTCTCCAGCATTTACTATTTGTAGGTTTTTGATGATGGCCATTCTGACTGGTGTTAGGTGATACCTCATTGTAGTTTTGATTTGCATTTCTCAGATAATTAGTGACGTTGAGCATCTTATCATGTGCCTGTTGGCCATCTGCATGTCTTCTTTAGAGCTTCTGCCCATTTTTTCATTGGCTTGTTTGCTATTTTGATATTGAGCTGTGTAAGCTGCTGAGAAGCTAGAATGGATTTGTATAAATGCATCCACTCCCTCCTGGTTCTGCTGGTAGGTGCCACTGGCTGGCTGATAGCTGTGAGTAGGGCGAAGCAAAAGTAATGGCTCAGGTGCCTCCCTGCATCCTGACCTGGTGGGCTGCCTCCTTGGGCCACCAAGGAAGCTGACCCTCCATTACAACTCAAAGCTTGGCCATGTTAGTCATTTTCCTCTGTTTGGGCATCTTCCACTGGCCGGCCACAAGAAGCCAGACCTTAAAACACACTCGTAGGTACCATAAGCACCATGCAGCTGGTCACAGCGGGTTCTGTCTCCATCTGTCTCCAGGTGCTTAGGGCGCTCTTTGCTGGTAACAGACCTTACCAGGGGGGCTTTTACGTCTCCCCTCCCTTTGCCAGAGGAGTGCGCCTTCCTAGTCTCTGCTGCACCTGGTCGAGGGGAACAGGAAAAAGGGATCGGTCTGCCGCATCTTCGATGGAAAATGCAATTTCCGTCGCGATCCCCTGCACGCACGTTTGGAACGGGATCGTCCCAGGGCGAGACCGCGGTGACCGCAAGCGCCTGTCCCCGCGCGACCCGCCTGGGTCGGGCGTGTGGACCTGGAAAGGGTCGGCGGGTCGCCGGCAAGCACACTCCAACACGGACTTCAGAGGCTGGGCTAGGCCACCCGGACCCAAGGGGACGCGTGGGCGTGTCGGGCGCCGGTCCGGGGACCACGCGAGACGCGCCCACCTCGCCGGTCCCCTCACACGGCGCTTCCGGACCGGCAACTCCGTCGGAAGCGTCTGTCACTTTCCTCAGGGAGAAGACGAAGCAACAGGCAGGCTTCCGCAGGAGGCCGGCCAAGGCGAGCGCGGCGCGGGAAGGGGAGCCGGGCCCGCGCCTGCCCCTTCCCCCCGCTCCCTCTCCCCCCTCCCCCTCGGCCAGCCCCTCCGCCTCCCCGTGGGGCCCGCCCTCAACCTCCCCGCCTCGCGCCCGCCCCCGCCTCCGCCCCCGCCCCCGCCCCCGGGCCTGCCCCTCCCCCTCCCGGCGGGGCACCGCCCCCGCCTCCCCTCCCACCCCCCGGGGCACGGCCTCCCACGCCCCGCCCCACGCCCCGGCCTCTCCTCCCCGCCCCTCCCCGGCCCCCGCCCCCATCGCTTCACGCTCCCCCTCCCCTCAGACCCGCCCCTCCTCCCCGTCCCACCTCGACTCCGCCGCCGTCCCTGGACCGCCGCAGGGCCGCAGCCTCCGCCAGGGAGCGCGCTCCTCGGCCGCCGCTCGCCGGCGTCCCGGGAGCCCGACAAAGAGCGCGCCGCCCGCCCGCAGTCGCGCCCTGAGGCTCCGGCGGCTCGGCGGGCGATGGGAGATGGAAGGAAGCGACGCCGCGGTGAGGCGCGAGCCGGCGGCGGGGGCGGGGCGGGGCGCTCGGGGCCGTCGGGGCGCCTGTGCTCCGTGGCTGCCGGGTCCCCCGGGGTCCCGGGCGCCTGGACGTCGGGGTCGGGAGCCGCTTCCTTTCTGCCCCCGCTCTTTGTGTGGGTGAGCAGCCGGAAGGCTCGCTCGGTGGGGCGGCGGTTTGAGGGGTTTCACTTGGACCCCCGCCTTCCAGCCGGGGGGCCGGGCACGCCTGGGCGTCGCGGGGCGGCCCGAGGGAGGGCGGGAGGGCGGGACGGCACCCGGCTCCCGGTCGCCGAGTGTGGGACCCTCACGTTTCTGTCAAGAGAGCAGAGAAGTCCCGCGCGGCGAGCGGGCGCGCCGACCGGGAGGAGGGTTCCGTGCCTTGGAAGACGTTGCCCTAGTTCAGTTTTACATGCATTTAACTTTATCCGCGGTTTTCTGCCGAAAGTTCTGGCAAATGATGTTCTGAGATTTAAAAATAACAGGCACCACCCAAGGACGTGGGTTTAGAATGCTGCCGGTGGCCTAAATGACAAATTGTGGTTTTACCATTGCCCTCGGGGGACGTGATGGGCACGAAGATGTCATTTTCCACGGACAGCCGTGACGAGGGTTTCCACTCCGGGATGACTCTTGAGTGGGTCCAAGAGTTGGTGTAGGGAAGAGGAGATTTGGAAAATTCCTGTCAATGGGGTTCAGGGAGCAAATGCTTCAATTCATTAAACCTAACTGAATATCTGCAAAGAATTTTGCAGAGCCCTGTAGCCAGGTGAGTGTGACAGGCCTTCTGCTGTCAAGGAGCTTGCTCTCCAGGAGAGACTTGTGCTTAGAGGTGATGATGGAGGAACCCAGAGGTGGCAGAGGTTCTGGTCCAGCCAAGGGCCTGGAAGTTCTCTGCAGGGAGGTTTAGCTGGGCCCTGAAGGGGAAGGTTGGAGGGGCTTTCACTGTGTGGGGGAAAGGATGCTCCCTGCTGAAGGAAAGGAAACGCATTTTCTGTCTTCTTCCAAGAAATACTTTACTGCCCTTTCTGAGAGTATTTACAGATCAAGACTTACTCTTTTCAAAAGTCATTCAGTTCCTCTTCAGCACCTAAAAGTGCAACATGGCGCTGCAGAACCGGCAAAACAATGCAAGATAAACGGACACCTTCAGTGGCTTGATGCATGTCCTTCTACAACTTTCTATATCCACCCACAAATCATCACGGATATCTGTGTTTGTGTTGTTTGTAAGATATGTTGTTAACGAACACTTGCACTAAAAGGAGCAGAGTAGTTCCGTGGAAAGTACTTGGACCAGTAGGTAGGACACCTGGCTTGTAGGTTTTGTCACCAAGTGGGTGAGTTTTTGCCAGTGTCTTGGGCACATCATTTAACCACCTGTAACTGAAATTTCTTCTTGTATAGGACAAGGGGACTGGGTAGACAGCTGGTTTTTCAGAGCCTTCCAGCCCCAGCAGCTTACGATTTTCTGCCTAAACAGAGATATGCGTTCCTTATTCAGTGACGCGCTCTCAACTTCACTTGCTGAATAATCTCTCAGGTTGTATGTTCTGTGAACGGATCAGCGCTCTCATCCTGGCCATGGAATGGGGGAGAGTGACTGAAGCTGCACAGCTAAAATGAGCGTATTTTAAGGTGAAGTTCCACAGTTGAATGTTATTTTTAAAAATACAAGTGTAAGAAACTTGCTTTGCACATCTGAATGCGTGTTGGCTTTGAAGGTTTTGTTGACACTGTTCACTTCTTTTGTGACCAAAGAATAATACAGACTTTACTATGGACATTGTAATAAGAGGCTCAATTTTGCTTTTAATTAAAGTAAAAATGAGCAATTAAAAAAATGGGAAACCTTGGAGATCCTTAGAGGCTACTACATCTTGGGAATTTAGAAATAAAAATAATACAGGATAGAAGATTAGCCCTTTGAAAAAATGAAAATTCAGAGAGTTTTTTCTATTTGCTTTCTAAAACCTTAGTATTTATATGTTTGCTGACACTGATGGAAAATGAGTGGGATTTAGCCTGGCATTACATTAAAAAAACACGTCCAAGGCATTACTACTTTTAGAGGTGAGGATTTTTGTTTTTTTTTAAAAGAAATTCTGGAGTTATCTGTCATACATTATTCATAAACTAAGACACCAGTGTGATAATAGATTCATCTCAGTCTTGGTTAAGAAGTTCCGAGGCAGTAATCATGTGAAGGTTAAAATATGTTTTTGTGCTTTGAGGTTTACCTGAGGTAATGCTGTCGTTCGGCAGTTATGAAAAGAACATTTCTTTGGGCTTGGATTGGATTAGAGGGTGAGTAATGGATGGTGATCCTTCCCAATTTTTAGAAAAGAATTCAGACCTGATTGAGGGGTAGGCAGTCTGTGCGAAGAAATCCGGGGATCAGTAGGTGCTCCCCTCCAGGAGCATCCGTGTCTGGACGGCTCATGCTGTTTGTGGTATCGTTTGCAGATTCAGAGATTTGCTGGGAGGAATTTTAGCAGTGGCCTGATATTTTTAAGGTTAGGGTTAGGGTTAGGGTTACCTTTCCTGTGCCTCTGAGTTGCAAGACCATCTTCCAAAGACATTTTCCACACACACCAGCTTTAATAGTTTCAGTTGTAGCGGCTACACGGGCCCTTTACAGTGGGGAAAAAGGATAATTTTCAGCATGTAGTTAACAAGTTATTCTTAAATCCATTTCCCAGATTTCCATGCCTCATTCAAAAATCAGGTGTAACCTCTTGACACTGATAATGACTCTGCTTCTGCTATCTTATTTATATAAAAATAGCACGTGTCCCCACGCTCCCTGTTTTTCCACTGTGCCCAGAAGGTCAATAAACTGGGGCCCCGTTGGTGGCCGAGTGGGCAGGACTTTGTTGACACTCCAGGGCACAGAGGTCATGAGGTGTTTTCTCTCTCTGGGAAGCTTGTGGTGGGAGGGAGTGACCAGCCGCTCCCCCTCCTCCCTGCGTGCGCCAGGCCCCGCCGCCCCGGGGCCGACCACTCAGTTCTCGGGGCTTGTTTAACTGTGAACAGCCATCTAGTTGGAAACTCCTGTTTCTCTGGTCACAGATCCGTGAGATGAATGAGACTAATTTGTACATGTTGATGCATATTTCTGAGAGTTTATCCTTGGAATTAGGGACTTAGGGTCATGGAAAAAAATGAACATTTTGATGAGCCTGAGGCTCTTTTCTTACACAATAGTTTCTTCTTACATTGTAGATTCACGGGGGTTATCTGAGAAGCAGCATTTTCCTTTAAGTTTCACATTATGGCCCAACTTTGGAAAATGCTTATTTTATGTGGCATTTTCAAGCATGATGTATTGTTACAATCACAGAGAGTATTTATTGAGATCTTACGATATGTTTTAATACAGGTCTGGTCCCCAAGACAACCTCAGGAGGATAGTTGTCTCCATTCTGAAGTCTGGAGAGGTTAAGTAACACAGCCAGAAAGTGGCAGAGCTGAGACTTCAACTTGGCAGTCCAGTGTTCTTACCCACCATTTTGCTTTTATGTCCTCAGAGTTAGTATGGTGTGTTGCAGAAACTGGGTTTTTTGACTCTCAGATTCTCTGGGTCTTGGAATCTGAAATTGGATGACTAATTCATCAGCAACCATTCTTTTAAATGTCTAAAGGCTTAAATAGTGGGACCAGGATTGTTGTTTGGCTCAAGAGATGGAAATTGTGTATTTTTCTTTCAACAACACATGTCGTGTCTAAGGGGATCCATAAAGGGATTAGGTGAGGAGCTCCATGTAGTTATAAGTAGTTATAAGCAGATTAATAACTTAAAATTGAATGTCAAGCTCACCTCTTATAACTTCCAGTTAATCACCTGATGGATATGATCTCGACTTTTCTACAACAGTGGGTGTTGATATGGAAGTCTGCTTCTCCTTGTTTTTTCTCCCCATGAGCTGGGACTTAGGCTATTGCGAAAAGGGGTCTGAAACAATGAGGAGGAGAGTGGGGAATGAGCCGAGGGCATTCATAAGAAGATCTGGCAGCACCTGCTCCCTGTTTCTCTTGCCTTCTGTTCCCAGACTTCTGCTACGAAGTGAATGATAGAAATGGAGCAGCTTGGTTCTTCCTGTGGCTCTTTGGTCTGTGGACAAAGGAAGTAGAAACATTTGAATAGAAGCAGCTGTAGTTTCTTTTGTTTGGCCTTCAGGGAATTATTGGTTAAGGGCCAGTGAAACTGCTTTTCTCTGTGTATGAAAACTTACGGGCTTTTTTGAATTTCATTTTTCAACAACTCTTACTTTCCAAGAAGTTCTCTGATAAGCACAGTAGTATAGATTGAGTCACAGGACTCCAAGGGAAGGGGAAATCTGGGTATAAGAGTGAGTGGCACAGACAGTGCAATTGGATGATTGCTGCCTTTGTGACTATGTTATTTTCTAGCAAAATTATATTGGGGAAATACTGAGAAATGGCAGCAGGCCCTGTGATCTTCCAGAGCATGTCCCCAGACCTTACCTTCACGTGTCAAAAAGCTGTAGGTAGTGAGTGTTTGAAGAAGCAAGATGTTTCTCCATGGGTCTGACACTTTTCATTTGAATATCCGAGTTCCCTTTGGGGCAGGTTTTTATATTTTTCAGCTTCATTTCCAAAGGGTTCTTGAGCTGCCGACCCCATCTGCTGATGCTTCTTTCTTCCTATAAAAATCTTCCATGTAGAAAAAAAATCCTATTGCATTCCACAAGCGTCTATATCAGGGCGGAAACTGAAGTATAGGTATTATATGCTATTCATTCATTCATTCATTCATTCAGCAGATATTAAGTGCTTATCATGTGCCAAGCTCTGTTGGGCTCCAAAAAGCCTTGTCTGCGGACCATTGAGAAAACCTGTCAAGAACATTTAGAGACACTCAGATCCTATTTCTGAGAGTCAAACCTCACAATCTGTAAATACTGAAGCCACTGTATTTAAGAACTCTTTCATAGAATCAGTGAGTTGCTGTCCAAGTTGTTCAATAGA